TTCTGACAGGTTCTGGAGAACTGGTAGTGGACATTTTGAGTAGTTTGGAGAACCAGCAAATGCCACCTTTGGCTGGCCTCCAGAGTGGGATGGGAATGGAGATTTTGCAATATCCTTCCCCTGCCATGTCCACCAAGCCACGCCTACCAAGCCACACCCACAGAACCGGTAGTAAAAAAATTGAATTTCACCATTGGTCTCTTCATTTCATCTTCAAAACAACATTGTGATACAAGTTGGTCTAACCGACCCAAAGCCACCCAAAGAATTTTTGGCGGTTGAAGGTGGACTAGAGTCGGCATTCTTTAAAGACTAATCCAGCATCTTAAACTACAATTGCTCATTCCATCTGTTTTGAGAGATACAGTAGAGTTTCAAGCAGTGGTGGGATCCTGCTGGTTTAACAACTAGTTCTGCATGCGTGTGCAGTTTTAACAAAACTTACCTTCCATGTTACTTCTTGGGGAATAATACAGCTGAGGCGTGGCAATCCGCTCTGCTGTGTGAATCAGCTGAGAGGATATAGGTAAGGAAAGCACAGAGGCGGGTGGGCAGGCCCACCTGATCGTTGGAGTGAACCTGTTCTCTCCTTAGCTGATCATCAGAGCTACCGGTTCACTCCCCAGCTGATCATCAGAGCTACCGGCTCTCTCCCCAGCTGATCATCAGAGCTACCGGCTCTCTCCCCAGCTGATCATCAGAGCTATCGGCTCTCTCCCAAGCTGATCATCAGAGCTACCGGTTCTCTCCCCAGCTGATCATCAGAGCTACCATCTCTCTCCCCAGATGATCGTTGGACCTACCAGTTTGCTCCCCAGCTGATCATCAGAGCTACCAGTTTGCTCCCCAGCTGATCATCAGAGCTACCGGTTTGTTCCCCAGCTGATCATCGGAGCTACCGGTTCGCTCTGCAGCTGATTGTCAGAATTACTGGTTTGCTCCCCAGCTGATCATTGGAGCTATCAAATTGTTCCCCAGCTGATTGTTGGAGTTACCGGTTCGGTCCCCAGCTGATCGTCGGAGCTACTGGTTTGCTCTCCAGATGATCATCGGAGCTACCGGTTCGCTCTGCAGCTGATCGTCAGTGCTACCAGTTTGCTCCCCAGCTGATCGTCAGAGCTACCGGTTCGCTCCCCAGCTGATTGTCGGAGCTACCAAATTGTTCCCCAGCTGATCGTTGGAGTTACCGGTTCGCTCCCCAACTGATCGTCGGAGCTACCGGTTCGCTCCCCAGCTGATCATCAGAGCTACCCATTCGCTCCCCACATGAACATCGGACCTACCAGTTCACTCCCCAGCTGATTGTTGGAGCTACCAGCTTTCCCAAACCAGCCCGAACCGGCTGAATCCCACCCCTGAACTTTGATGCTATTTTTGGAATTCAAAACCAGCCTGGTCCATTGACATATAAATGAATGTTAACCCTTTTCTGTAATGGCTCATTTCCTCTCCCCACCCCCTTTCTAGCAAAAAGGACAATCCTGTTACCATAAGTGTTGACACCGAGAGTCTCAGTCAAGACGAGATGAATGAAATCCAGAAGATATTGGAGAAGAACTTGTACAAAACAAGGAGGATGGTGAGATATTTCTCCAATGAGAATATTTTCCAGGAAGGGGGGAATCAATAAAAGCTTTGAAGGGGTTTCATCTAAGCCGGAGACTTGGTGCTGTGGGGTCCTTAGTGTTTTCTGAACTTGGTTGTTTTCACTAATATCATTTGTGCTGGAAACCTCACTTCTATCTGGCACTGAAGATGTTACCTAGTTTGGTAACGAGACATCTGCAAGAAAACAACCCAGCTCAGAAAGCACCAAGCCCCCTACAATTCAGCTGAGCTACAAATGTTCTATTGTTACTAATAATCTCTGACCATAGAGGTGATCCTTGCTTAACAATCCCTCATTCAGCAAGTGTTTGAACTTACAACATCTCTGAAGAAGTGGGACTTATGGCCAGTCCTTGAAGTTCTGGCTATCACAGAGTCCCTACTCTCATGTACCAATAAAGAATACTTGAAAAGAGGGCTCCTTGGTGCTCTGTGAACTTGCTATTTTCTCGCAGACATTTCATTATTCAAACTAGGTAACATCCTCAATGCTGGTCAACTAGTACCGATGACATAAACTAGTTTGGGTAATGAAATGTCTACAAGAAAATAACCAAGCTCAGAGAGCACCAAGGATCCCAGTCCTCCTCGTCCTCCTCCCTCTCCTCTGCCAGCACTGATGATGTTACCTAGTTGGGTAATGAAACATCTGCAAGAAACAACCTAGGTCAGAGAGCACCAAGGATCCCAAGTTGTCATCTTCCTCTTTCACCCCAAAACCTCCCCCTCTTCCAGCACTAATGTTACCTAGTTGGGTAATGAAATGTTTGCAAGAAGCAACCTCAGAGAGCACCAAGGATCCCTCCCTAGAGCCATATGAGTCATCTTCACTGCTAGAGAAGCCCTTGCTAAGCAGTCTGGCCAAGTGAAGGTGAATTTTACAAGGTGTTAATTAGCGATGAGTGTGTGTGCGGAGAAGAGGGGGGAGATATATAATGGGGGAAGAACACTGTTATCATTTCCCGCCATCTTGCAACAATAAAATCAGCCACAAATCAATTCCCAGCAATTTAGATAGTATAAAACACTTTGGAAAAGGTGGGTACAAAAATACTATCTCCTTTTGCAGGAAAAGAACACTTTTCCAAGATGGTAGGCAGAGTTTGAGGAAATATTACACATTTACTCAAAGGGAAGATGACCCTGAATTTAAAATGTTCCCACTTTGCCCACCAGAAAGACTAGATGACCAATAAAGGGAGAGAGAGAGAGAGAAAGAGAGAGTGAGAGAGAGAGACAGAGAGAGACAGAGACACACAGAGAGAGACAGAGAGACAGAAACAGAGAAAGAAAGAAAGAAAGAAAGAAAGAAAGAAAGGAAGGAAGAAAGAAAGAAAGAATATTGATGTTGGTTTGTTTACATTTTCCATGACCAGGTGTCAGCCTATAATCGACACACACTTCCTTGTGAAGCAGAACCAGCAGAGCAAGTCAAAGAAATCGTCATCCTCAGGCACAAAAGTTTGCAAATCTGTCCAGAGAGAAGTCCCTCGGATTATCTCAGCGAGGAGGTACAAAGGCTGTTAGATCATGGAAGTAGATTCAGATCATGGTCAGATAATTCAGCATTTACTGTGAGCTAAAGTTTCCACGGGACGCGGTGGCTCAGTGGCTAAGATGCTGAGCTTGTCGATCAGAAAGGTCGGCAGTTCGACGGTTCGAATCCCTAGCGCTGCGTAAC